TGATGTTGCGTCATGTACTGGTTCTTCGGATCCAAATCGTCCCTCACCCCAAACTAAGCTAAGCGAAATAGAATGACGTTCAGATTTCGGCCAGGGGGCCGCCCGTCAGAACAGGCGGAGCGCCTCAACCGTCCTTGTTGGCAACTTCGGGCGAAAAGCAGCTAGTGGTTGGGTTGTTCAGAACCATGCATGTCACAGGATGAGATGCTGCAAGTCGTGAGACTTCGTGGCCTGAACGTAAACTTGCACTGACTGTCTGACTGGGTCACGACGGGAATCTATATCTGTATTAAAGCTTCACGGGCAGCAATCTCGCGAATTGTTGCAAGCTGGCCATGACGTCGCGACCTACATCCTATACGTGGCATCCTCGAACCTGAAACCTTGAGTCTTCATGTCCAAACAGAGCTCTTTGGGTTTAGGGTTTAGGGTTTAGGGTTTGGGGTTTAGGGGTTTAGGGGTTTAGGGGTTTGGGGTTTAGGGTTTAGGCTTTATTCCCGGTCTCATGAAAATTATCGGGGGCCCGCGCATGCCTGCTGGCAGCACCCGCTAGAAGGAGGAGAGCAACTCTGACAGCAATTGAAGACAGGCCACTGTTGCAGGTCCTGGCCGTGTGGTACAGTGCAGCATGAAGGGTTTTCAGCTTGCACTCAGGTTTACACGACAAACGAGAATGGCATGCTCCAATGTTTTGCTAGACTCCTAGAGACTTGAATTCAGGAGTTCCTTCGTGAGGCCCTACGGCAGATGCGTAGAAGTAGCAACCGAAACGCGTTGCCGAGCTTCCAGTTCATCAATTCAGCTTCGCAGTGTTCAGGTTGGGCTGTTTGTGCCTGAGCATACAGAGTTTGGAGTCTAAAGACAATGAAATGCCTCAGCAGACCCTCGATGCTAAACACCTCCGGAAGATCATGCCCTCAGCCTGGGCAAGTTCCGACGGCAACTCTACCCAAACAAACACGCACACGCAAGCAACACAAACAGGCTCACTCTCAAGCCTAAGCCCAAACCCACCAAACCTGAAACCTTCAACCTGAATTCGTAAAACCTAAAACTTGAGCCCTGAACGACCCTACACCCAAACCTGCTGGACGGCAGAGAGGAAGACAGCTTGATCGGGCTGCAGCAGCTCCGAATTTTGCAGTCGTCTGAACTCCTCCAGATTTGGGACTGCCGGGGTTGGGAGTGGCGAACCTGGGACTAGGGTTTAGGGCTGAGGGCTTTGGGGTTGAGGAAAAAGGTTTAGGGCTTTGGGGGTTCAGGTGCCAAGGCTTTAGCAGGGGATAGGGCGTAGGCTTTGGGGCTGATCTTCTTATCATCCGGGCATCCGCCTTGTACCATGTAAGCTTTAAAGAAACTCATGTCTGAGTACTCTCAGCACTGCGACCCTGTTTTCAAACTTGGGACCATAATGCAGGGGTCGATCAAACAAGTTTCCGATCCCCCGAGAACGCCCGCCTTCGTTGCTCCACGGTTTAGGGTTTAGGATTTAGGGTTTAGTTGTTTCTAGGCCTAAAGGAAAGTCTAGTCTTGAAACAGCACCGGAAAATGCTCGGCCCTTGGCTGATCGGCGGAACTGTTGAAGTCCTTGCACGACACCCAGATTTTCATGAGATTGTATAACCCGAATTTTGGATTAACCGCTTGAAGGCCATACTTGTTCGTTGCCCATCATCAGAAAACAGTGTCATTAAACAAACACTTACGTCAGGCAGATGCTCTGGATCGACAGCCGCACCTGCATATCCATCCGCACGCTGAGCTGAACCTCTGCCTCCAATGCTGAAGATGACATGACAAGGGCATCAACCCGCTAACCACAGGACCTTGATAGGAATAAGGCTTCTTCATGTTATGGGCATTGGTAGCACGTGACAAGACGAACAACGGGAGAACACGCCGGACATGTACTCAATACTCACGTGTAAGCATGTACGAGTACGCAACATGACAGCAGGTACCTGTATCAAAACCAAGTGGCACGAACAAATAACTAAAACGGGTTACACGGTTGATCAATAACTGGACTCTTAAGACTTTCGTAATGACATGCCCAAAATGCTAACATAGTCCCACAATCCAATTGATCCATCACCCCTAAGTAAACTCTGTCGTTGGGGACTGTGCGCGTAAATAGTGTGGCAGAAGTCTTCAGAAGGTTGAAAGGGCTTCATCGAGTCCAGAAATTTAGTAAACAAATACTGCGCTCGAACGTAACACTACAGTGTAGTATCATATGCGACACCAGTAAGAATTCTTGAGACACGTCTAACATCCTCCAGGCGGCGACTTTCCAGCCCGTTTGCTCGGCCAAGGCTTGCTTGAGACTCTCCACGGTCCGCCTGGGCTCATGGCTTTTGGAGGTCGGGTTTTGGGGATGACGGTTTGGGTAAAGTGACAATGTTTCGCAATTAGGTTGACGATCTGATCTTCGGCCTTAGCGATTTACCTGGGGATTTGGGTTTAGAGTTGAAGGTTCAAGGTCAAAAGGGCTTAGTAAGTAGGTTGTATGTAGGGTGGTGCCAATTGTATTTTCGAGATCTAACCGTGACGCACGTAGGGCTGCATAAGGAGCTGTTTACTGCTTTAAGGCCATATGTTCGGACCGTCTTGGTAGAAGGAAGGCCGGCGTTATCTCAACACTTGGCACCTAAACCCGGTTTGGTTAGTTTCGGGTTATGGATTGGTTTAGGGTTTAGTAGGGCATCAGAGCGAGGATTGCAAGTGCAGCCTACAGTATCTACAATCGTCGTTGTGTAGAAGCATACTACTGCTGATGATATAAATCATGCATTACCCATAATAAAGAATATAACATAATTCCATAGTTTAGAGTCCTTAAGGTGATGCAGGAGTTATATCATCAACAGTATGACGGACAGTCACAGCTTACAACCATAAACCGGAAGCAAAACACACCAACACTAGAACCACCGCCGTAAAGCTAGACTAAAGGCTACGTAAGTATGGGATGTATAAAACCCCTAAACCCCGAATACTGTACGCAACTTCAGCCGTTCCTGCAGCTCTTGAAGTGCTTTGGTCCTGAAGGACTGAAAGTGAAAGTGGCAGGAAACACCTGCCAGAAGTTGATAAAACTGCGACACCCAAGTGGATTAAGGTTTCAGGTTGAAGGGTTCAGGGTATCCTGCAGTTTGCGCGTGCCGGGTCTATCGCAAGATGCTGCAAAGAGTCCCAGCCCGGATGGTAGCAGTTACGCCCGCGCAGAGTACAGGAATGTCCATGTAAGACATGGCGTTGGGCTGCGGATGCTCTGAAGCGGTTTCCTTCTCAGCCTACAAATGTCATTAATCTTCTGACCGTTGAAGCATCTTGACGTGGTGCTCTAAACGCCGTTTCAGTCAAGCGCTTGTCAGCAGCTTCGCTGTGCTTTTTAATCGGGCAGGAGGTAGGATGCATCGCCAACTGTTCAATTGAAATGGCGGCGATTTCAGAAGAGGTTGAATGGCAGTGCAGCACCGAACACATCTGAAGCTAGCACCATGTCATTCCAGATGTGCAACTCTGGCTCTCCCGCATGACAGGCCTTCATGTGCCGGAAGAGCGGCAAGGGTCGGACTTGACATGGACAGAACCGCAAGCTTCAACACTAAACCCTAAACCCCTAAACCCCAGACCCCTAAACCCTAAACCCTAAGCCCTCTAAGCCCTAAAACCCTAAAACCTAATGTTCGGCTCTCCTGCACAATTTCCTGCAGCAGCTCCTGGCCTTCGAGCGCCTTCCGGAAACGATGATGGGCCAAGAAAGCAGGGACAGCGGGGCTCGGTTCGAGTGTACAGTGTCCATCCCTTTAGGGCTTTGGGTTTAGGGTTGGGTTTAGGGTTTAGGGTTTAGGGTTTAGGGTTTAGGATGTGAGGGCTCAGGATGACAGGTTCTAGGGTGCTAGTATGTAGGTCTTTGTGTTTAGCCGAGAGAAGAGCTTGGCTCAACGAGACATAACCATGGTCTTAGGAAATTATAAAATGTGGTGAGAAGGTACTGGTGCAAAAACCCTTCTTTACACTCCCAGGCACATAGATGTACATGGAATGAAGATGATACTTCTTTGTGGTAACTGACCTTGCGTTCCTGGGCACGAAGTCGAACAGGCTCAGAGACCTCATCGGGTAACCAGGGTTTAGGGGTGAGGGATTTGGGGCTCAGGCCTGCAAGCGAGTTGAAGGATCAACCTTAGGGCTTACGTCATCAGGGTTTTCAGGCGTTTCGGGCTCTGGGGCTTACTCTACACCATGCACTCTCAAAGCCGTAACAACCCAAACCCCTACACTCCAACGGGCACCCAGAACAAAAAAATCACGCTGAGAATCGCACACGAAGCGCGGCAGTCAAATACTAACACCCGCAGGCCCCTAAACTTAGAGAGCGCACCCAAACCTCAAGGCCCAAAGCCCAATTCAAAGGAACAAAAAGCCCCAATACCCCAAAACCTAGCTTGCCCAAGCGGAACTCTCCCGTACTCCGAAGGTGAGGCTATGAGGGGTGCAATACCAGTTAGGGCCAGTCAGGCTGCGGGAGGCAGGGGCAGAATCCGAAAAGGGAGAACCTTGAAAGTTAACGATGAGGTTGGGAAGAACCCTGCGCAGCCAGCCATGTAGTCACCCAACCAGGCCCGGCGGAAATCCGTCCAGCTCGAAAGCCCCCGCGGGGGTCCAGTCTCCATGGAGGTCCCATTGGGCCGCTCCTACGTCTGTCATGGACTCTTGCGCCAGCTCGATAATGAGGATTTGGTGCAAGATGAGTCCAAGTGCGTCAGGAGGCGTCCCCGGTTGAGGCAGTGCCTGATCCCTTGCCGCAGTGTCCGTGGCAGCGGGGACTACGTGTACCGAGGAGGCTTGTGTGTCCCCCGGCTCGAGCGTCGGAGCCCACAAAGTCTCAGGGTCCCCAATGCCGTACGGCACCCTTATAAAAGGGACCCTGAAAGGGACGCTGATTTAGAGAATTACCCATGTAGAACCCTCAAAGCAGCCCTTGACCTCGCCTGGAGACGGCTCTCCGCCAGCAGGAGTCGCTGCTTCCGCTCCGAGCGGGAGAGCGGCCAATCCCAGAAGAGGCCCTCAAGGAGTCGACTGTAATAGGGTTCCTATCAGGATCTTTAAAGGGGTTCTTTGTTGGGCTTCCGCAATAAAGGGTTTCTGACAGGGTATAGAGTTTAGGGCTTTTTAGGGGTTCTAGGGTTTTCAGGGATGTTCAAGGTTTTTGTTAAGGGCTTTTAGGGTTTAGGGAGTCGGAGCTATAATCAAGGATGCGACTGTAAGGTTTCCTTTAAGGGGTTCTATTTATGGAATTCCTTATCTCAAGGGGTTCGTTCCATCAAGGGATTCCTGTTTGGGTTGCCTGCGGGGCTTCGCGAAGGTTTTTTGTTGAAAGGGTTGCTTTGAGGCTTAGGTTGTTGAAGGATTCAGTGTAGGGTTTTTTTATCTGCAAAGAATTCTTGAGGGTGTACAGGGATTTCACAGCGATTGTTTACAAGGGTTCTATGGGGGATTATGAGCTTTCAACGGGTTTTAGGAAGTTCCCTTGAAGGCCTCTTCCAGGTTTTATAGGGATTGTGGATTTTTTTGGGGGGTAGGGTAGTGAGGGATTGAGGGTTCAAAAGAGCTGGTTGAGCATTTAGGGTTTGAGGAGTTGCAGGTTTTGGGGTTGAGGGTTTCATGTAGACAATGGATCAACAATTTAACGCCGTCAAGTCAAGATTGATTAAGATACCTCCTACTATGCCTGCTGAGCAGGGGGCTTCTTCATGAAATCAGGGGTCTGCATGAAGGTTTTCCAGACTTTTCTTGCTGGCAATCGTTAACTCTTATTGGGGTTGCTATAGCCCTGAACTCTGAACCTTTAAACCCTAAACCTAAACCC